TACCACGCGGGTTTTGGCGCCAATTTTGGGGATGGGGGCCCGTACGTGCATGTGGATTATACCCCCAAAGTTTCAGCCCCGTAGCTTTGGCCGGTCTCGAGATGAAAAATCGGTACAGACGAACACACAGACACACACACACCGACAACCTCTCGTCAATATGCGTTTTCTGCATTGCATAGCTGCAAAAAACGCATAAAAATTATAGCCGTGAACGGGCCTAGCCTCTCTCCGAAAAAAACGTATAAAAGCGATTGGAATCCTCAGCCGGCATCGCTCTTGAGTTCTAAGACTACGACTTCGACTAAGGATTCTTCGCGACTACCGATAAGACCAGCACTTCTGCTTATCGACACTGCTTTGCGCTTCTGCTTGCTGACATCGACTTCCGCTTGCATTTCTGCTTGCCTTCGCGTTCGTGCTTACCAACATCGACACTGCCTTGCATCCCTGCTTGGCCTGACGTGCGTGCTTACCGAGATCGACACTGCCTTGCATTCCCGCTTGGCTTCGCATTAATGCTTGCTGACACCGACACCGCCTCGCATTTTTGCCTGCCGACATCTACACCGCTTCGTATTCTTGCTTGCCGAAACCGACACGGCCTTGGATTCCTGCTTGGCTTCGCTTCAAGCTTCTTCAGCATTGACATCGACCGGATGCAGTTCACTCAGCAAAGCTCTAATCAATTCAGCTGTAATTAGTGGTAAGCGTTTACTTTAATTCGTCCACACCTGCTATTTGCGATCTGCCAGTTTAGTGCAAAAACGCATGATCGCATCGGCAAGTCTGGTGCGTTCCAGTTTGGGTTCAACTAAAAGGGTTTGTCAGGAAAACCAATGCGACATAGCGACAAGCAGTTGTAGGCGCGCAAAAACGAATATTCGCTTTTGTTATCATGGCGCGCACCGCCGCAGATCTTAGTTTTGCAACTGAAGTATCTTGACAAGAAATGATTGCATGCACATCCAATTTGGTTTGAGCTTGCCATAAAGTGTCTTTCGTTTATGCAACATCATATAAATATGCCTTGGTTTGAGTGCGAGATTTGAAACAACTCTTTTCGAGAACAGGTAGCATTTTGATGAAAAACTAATATGAATGCAGGCCTCATCGCCACAACTGGATCAGTTTAGCAGCTGGATATCTCTCAGATGTCGCCCGATAAAGCGTACAGTAAGATTTTTATGCTTGGAGAAATTTATACCAACCTATGCTGGTACTGAGAGAAAAACAAAACTGGATCTGTGTGAAGAGTCTTTCTAAAGAGTCTAGAGCCTGTCTGTGTCTTTTGATTTTAGATTACTCGAAACCTAGACTATTTCATACAAACGGAGATGTTGAACGACATATTGTCTAAAAAACCTAGACGGTGTCTTTACTAAGTACATTAATATTCATCAAAACTAAATTAAATGGTTGTAAAAGCCCGGGAGAAGGTGGTTTCAAATAAGACCATTTGGCGCAGCATTAGAATTCACTTGCTTCTTTATGCACTAGTGCATTCACGAAGCTTTATATTCAACGATTCTTCAGTTACTTTTTTGCCCATCCCAACTTGCATAGCAAACTAAATGGTTTTCGTATACAAAGGAGCACTATGCAAGCAAAAGAAGTTCAGAAGTGTGCAACGTTTTTGTTGCAGGAAGCTCAAAAGCATTGAGAGTAAGCACAGCAGTGCGTAAGAAAAGCGTACCTGTCAGACTCGCTTGGTTCTGGTCAGAAGAAACACAACATGGACTTGCAAACCGAAAGTTATTTACTTGTGGAACTCAAATCACTAGCACAAAAATTAGCAAATTTTCAGACTATCTGCTCAAACTGATCATAATCGGCGATACGGGTACTGGTAAAAGCTGCATTGTGCACCAGTTTGTGGAAAATAAATGTAAGTGTTCGAATTTGCATAAATGAGTTTAAACTGAAAGCCGCTCGATTCGAGACCGATTTTTATGCATTTTTGCGTACATGCAATGCAATAATTGGCCAACACACCGATTGCCGGCGCGAATATGCGTTTTTTGTACAGTTCCCCGCAGGTTTTTGTTGCTAAAGGCATTGCTTTTTCCGACAGATGCTTCTAGCTAAGAGAATTGAGGCTGGCCACCACGATTGTGAGAAAAAACTCTCTTAAGATTTCAGTTTTCTAGTTTTTTCTGATTCCGGTTCAGCACAGCTAGGGGCTGAAATTGAAATCTTTAGACATCCACACACAGAGAATACTCCTGCAAAGTTTCATTTCCTTATCTCTTCTGGTTCTCGAGATCTTTTCCCGCCAAAAAATTTGCATATTTTTAAGGCGTCATTACGCAGCACCCAGGCAGAAATGGGTGGTGATATTAAAACGGGAGGGTCATATAGATGATAGGCACTTATTCCCGAAGTTTCAGCCTTCTAGCATTTTTGGTTCTCGAGTTGAAAGCAAGTGACAAAAAGTGCGGACACACAAACACACTCACACAAACAGCCTCTTGCCAATATGCGTTTTTTGCATCTATGTCTGTGTGTGTATGCATGTATGTGCGTCTGTACCGGTATTTTATCTCGAGACCTACAAAAGCTACAGCGCTGAAACTTTGGAAACTCGATCTACGTGCATGTTCGGGCTTCTGTCTCCAAAATGGACATTCTTGCTCACACGGTTCCCAAGTAAAGACCCATGAAAGTTTATACAAATAAGCCGCTAACTTGGAGACATGAAAAGATAGAAAACTAAATTTTAAGAGGATGTTTCCGTCCACACAGGACTTAACGAGTAGAAACCCAGCCTCCAAATGTGGGCGATTCCCGCATACGGGCTGTAGAAATTTTTTAGTAGGTAAGTTGTGACTTCCATGCACGGGCATGTGAAATATTTGGCGGGAAAATTGTTAACTCGGTAAACAGAAAGGCTAGGAGGCTGGAACTTTAAGGGGATGTTCCTCGCCAACGTACAGTTTAAAGGTTTCAAATTCATCCTTCAGATTCGAGTTTTTCTCATGTGCGGGTACTTAGAAGTTTTCGTCGGAAAATAGCTTATTGAAGCGCTAGGTCATTTTCAAGGAACGACCGTTAAACGGAAATTGTTCATTTTCTTAATGCAAAATTTACGATGATCTACGCTAGTGAGCGCAAAAGATAGGTGTTAAGCAACAACCATTCATGCAGTTAGCGAACTGAGTACTTCAAGTCTGATGCAAAAACATATGATCGCACCGCCAAGCCTGGTGCATCCCAACCTGGGTTTTGCAACTTTATAATGAAATTGGAAATTTATACACATTTTGAGTCAAAACTGCTTGAGAATAAAGGGCACGAGCAGACGAAACCAATATGCCTTTTAGTTTGCTTTTCGGAATGCAATCGCTTATTGCTTTCGTATTTTTTTAAAGTTGTGAACTGAGTATTCTAGGACATCGAATCCCACTATTTTTACAGTTAAAGAAGATACAGCACATACAATTGGAGTGGAATTCGGTTCGCGGTTGTTGAAAATTGGTGAGAAGTGGGTGAAACTACAGATATGGGATACCGCCGGGCAGGAAAGGTAGGGCAGCCAATTTTTAACACTGTTTTATTGATTTATCTAACTTTCACTCTTTGTATTTACTATGATTACTCAATAGAAACTGTCAGCACGAGCAGGAAATAGTGAATGGGTGCGCAGGGGCGGGGGGTGGGGGGAGAATGTAGGGAGGGGCGAGGGACAAGGGAATGATATCAAAGGGAATGACTATGAAGGGTATTCGAGGATATCTTGCTTCCCTCCTTCTTTGGTACGTGGTCGGTTCGCGGTTATAATGTCAAACGCGTTGAACACTGGGCGCCTAGAACTGGACCAGAATCGTTTTGACTAATGTACTTCATAAGCATCAAAAGCTTTATGTTGCAAAAATACTTACCTCCACAGAAAATCCTCAATGTACATAACCTATGCAAAAGTTCCCGCTTAGTTCTGCCGCATATCCACGAATTTTGCACTCTAAATGAAGCATACTTTTGGCTCATATATTACACGGAGTGCAAATACTACACAGATCAAATGGTGCATACTGCAGTGCCAGTAAATTGGCAATTCGCGCAGCTGCCGAAGCCGGCCGAGGTGAGTCGAGCTAAGTCGAGCTTTAGTAACTGCCGTTAGATGGCTGCTCACCGCACCCACAGCAGCATACCGCCCAGCGGCACAGACCTTCTTTCCGTCCCTAAATTATTGTGTAACCCAGTGTGGGAAAGAATCCACTGCCGCTTTCCTCAAAACGTGAACAACTTCTTCAAGGGTGCTTTTCTCCCGACTATTGGTTGGCATCTTCAAAAACTTCTCCAGCTTCTATATTACTAAAACGCGCTCGGCTCGACTCAGCTCGGCTCGGCTCGTCTCCTACACGAGCTGCAAAAAATTTTTTTCCGGAAGGCGGGTAGGGTTGCCCCACGGCGGATGGCGGTAGTTTGAATGTGGTGCCAGCGTAAGTTAAAAAAAGTAGAAGGGAGGGATTTTTATGGCTTTTCAGGTCGCGCATATGTGATGCGTAACGTATCAGGGTAGGCGCGTTTTACACCCCCTTGAAATCATCTATACTCCTCCTACCTTGGCTACGCCCACATTCTTCCCGTATATAAGCCCAGTTTTTGGGCACAAAACTCAGTCTCTCCGGTCCACTTGGGCTGAGTGGCGGGGGCGAGTTGTTCGCCCACTGCCCTCAGTCCTCACAACCAGAAGGGGGAGGGTGTGCGGCTTAG